TACTATTATACTGGAGGTGTCAGAAGTGTTTAATATTCATAATGTGGCATTTTTAGTGACATCTGTTTGAAAAAGTTTATCTTTGCTGGAGCACTTCTTACAGGAGCTTTAAGAATCCTAACCTAAACTCATTACAAATAAATATATGGGTTTTCAATTGCTCTTTATATAGTTACATAATTAATTTACTTGTTTATGACTTGGCAACTTTAAAAAATGCATTCTATTTGTTCAGCAATCTGAAAGATCCAAGCATATAATATACAGGTCTCTTAATTGGCATGTTTCATTTATACATGTTATTTTATTGACTGTTTTACACTGCTCAGAGTCGCTTCTTGTGAAATGGGTGGCCATTTAAATGTAATTAATTAATTAATTTTTAAAAATAGTAAATGTAGGTTTAGTTTGTTAATATTATCTTTCACATGCATGATTTTGTCATAACCTACTACTGCTGCCAATAAAGTTAATTGAAAATATTCCACAATATGTATCAATAACATTTTAGTTGCTGATCTTATAGCAAAAAGTTTAAGATTTGGTTAAAAAAAATTTTGGTGTTACTTTTTTCCTAATAGTTTGCAATAAATATTAGCTAAATGGAATTTTAAAAGGACAGAAAGTGGCCAGTGATTAATCCCAAAGGTGCTTTTGGGATTATATAAACATTCAGCTAGTGATTAATTTTAACACACCCAATTTCATCGCTTAGCTTTGTTAGTCAGACTTTATGATTCTTGTTAAGACCCACGCCTGTTGAATCTGATAAACTACAAAAGTCCTTTGAAATTTGATCATTCCTAAATGTTGGACTTGCTAACCACATACGTGAGTGGAAATTCTAGGAATTCTAGATCCAAAATTTCTCAAGGCATTCATTCAGGATAACTTTAATATGAAATCACCATGAATTAGGGCTGTCATATTTGGCTGCAGAAACTCAGACAATCACCACAAAACAACAAAGTATTATGGTACAGGTAGTTCTTACTTGCTTTGTTCAGTGACTATTTGAAATTATGCCAATGCTGAAAAAATAACTTTATAACTAATGCCTACATTTACAACCTTTGCAGCATCCCTCAATCATGTGATTGCCAGTCAGTATACGTTGTCCTGTGCCTGACCTATCATTTTTCTCTTTTTCTCACCTTGCAGTATAGAGAGATTAGAGAATAAGGGATTACAAGAGAGTAGGCACACAGTGGCCAGTACACATCAACAGCAATTTATTGGTGCTGACAGCCCTGAGCATGCCGCACAAACAGCCTGGTGTTTTCCTCATTCTGTGCCTATTTACTCTCTTATAATTCCTTCCTGTTCAATGAAAGTAAATACAAACATTAATTTCTTTCTTGTTAATTATCCCAGCACTGTAGTGAGCATTCCAAGGGCAGGGAAAATATTAGAAGGCAAATAAGAGTAGAATATGTGAAAATGATTAATCTTCTACTGAGAATATTGTGAGTAGCCAAAATCATGAATCCAAGAGCAAATTAATCCAGAGTTCTAAGTTAAGACACAAGTACTAGGACTGGCCACATTGTGTGAAAGCACAGTTGACAACTTCCTAATGCTGGGAGAGGTAGAAGGGAAGAGAAGACAACCACCAGAGGCCAGGTAGATAAACTCAATTAAAACAGCATTGGGAGTCCTGAAAGGCCACGTTGGAACAGATTATCCTGATAAAGGTTTATCTTTGTGGTTGCTACCCATAAGAGTCAATACAAATTGGATGTCATATTAATTTAGAAACAGTATAGATCCATACTGGACCTGAATGCAAATAATCCTTGTTTAATCATGCAATAACTTTGCAACCAATGTCCACATTTACATGCTTTGCAACATATTTCTCTATGTCATGTATTTGCTATTATAGTCAGTAAGTACACATCCTGTGCCTGACCTTTTTTTCTGACCTTCTCCTACCCCAATGTGGTGGAATGTGATCTGGATTCCCAGGAGAGGGAGGAGCTGCTTCCCAGAGGACAAAAAGGCAGTGGAGCTTAGAAAATTTGGTCGGCAGGAAGAGGATCCTCCCTAGTAGTTCCCAGAGTACATAGTTATTCAGATAGTTACTTTGGTTTGGCAAGATTATGTCTGTAGTGAAAAAGAAAAAAAGAAACTACTCAGAAGTAATTCCACATGTCACTCTTGGGGCCTGACACCCACAGAATGAAAGATTGCTAAAACAACCTATCTCTTCCTGAGCAGCTTTTCTCTAAAAAAAAAGTGCAAACCACAAATTAAAAAGCTCAGCTCTGTCACTTTAATTACTTTGATTAGAACCTTCCTGTTGGCTTATAGCTGCTGCCTGAAATGGACAAGACCTTAATTATTTTCACACTAAAGGCTTTCTTTCACCTCCTAAGGAGCTCATGGCAAGCATACTAGGCAAACAGTCAGTGTTAGCGCATTCCTTTCTGTGTATATTGCCCATTATGTACCAGCTTAGTCTCTTTTAATCCCTTTCTCTTCAATAAATGTAAGTACAAACATTTACTGCTTACTGCTAATTATCCCAGCAACGGGGTGAGCATTTCAAAGAGTGGACAGTGGGGGGAAAGGGTTTGAAGAGTTGCCCTTTTACTTAGCTTCCTCATGCGGCAAGTTCCAGAAACCCTCCCTACTATTTGGATTCCCTCACTTGTTTGGGGTTGTAACCTTCCAGTACTGTGAAGTAAAGGAAAGTCACAGTCACAGTCATGCGATTTCTCACTTAATGACTGTTGAGATAGCCCCAATTGCGGTTGCTAAATGAGGACTACCTGTATGTAACACATATAACATGGCTCCGTTTCATTATATTAATAGGAAAAAGGCTACACTTCAGAGTTGCATCCTATTTACTTCATAGACTACTTGTTCCTGCTCTTTGGAACTTTCTGTGACTGCAGATTTGCAGAGGTTCATAGTCATTCATCCCAAATAAGTGCTGAAAGAAGCAGGAATCTTTGCTGAGAGCCCACACTGCTGGGAGTTTGGTAAGGATTTGTAATGGAATACATGGATAATCTTGAGGAAAAAGGAGAGGAGATGGTTCCTAGGAAACCATCAGACAAGAGAGGCAGGAACCTACAGTCACTTAACAACCAAAGAAAGAACCTGCCTTAATGGATCTAGGAGTTAAAAGTGGCAGGCAGGATGTTTGTACCTTCAGACTTACAAGATTCTGTTACTGTAGCCTTCTAATAAACCAGATTTAGCTCATCTGATCTCGTTTCCATGTCTAGTTTATCCGGGAGGGCTGATGGAATTTTATTTGTTTTAAATATATATATTCCTTTAATTTTAAAATTTTTTAAAATTAAAACAAGGAAACCAAAAGCACTGTACATTTTTAAAGGTCAGTTAGGTCTTTTTTCCCCTGGGAAACAGCAAATTGCAATCAAACTTTATTTATGCTAGGATTTGTCTTTTATGGATAATTTGGGCATTGTAGGGGAACCGTGTGTTTGGACAGAAGTTTATAGGTGAGTAAACATCATTTAAGATTTTGCTACCAAATATGGGACCAAAATGATAAAAGAGTTCTCATCATGTCTCTTAGCAATTTTGAGAAAATCATTGTATGAAGACATAAAATATAAAATGTTTCTCTTTAAAAAGGAATACTAATAAAATTCCAGCTGAATACTTACTTATGAAATTGTTAGAAAGTCTACCATTGTTCTTCTCTTTCTTTTATTTATATCAGTTTTCCTTTCTTTTTTCCTCTGATTATCAACAACCTTTCTTTACTTTAAGCCTGCCTAGTCGCCTTAGCTTTCCTTATAAGATTTTTTTTCAGATAACCGTTTTTCACACTTATGATCATTGCAGCATCTCCATGATCATATAATCAAAATTAATATGCTTGGCAACTGGTTCATATTTATGACGGTTGCAGGGTCCTAAGGTCATGAGATCACCTTTTATAGCCAACTCAGTGGGAAAGCCAGATTAATTTAATAACCATATTACTAATTTAACAACTGCACTGTTTAACAACTGTGGCAAAAAGGTTGTAAAATGGGGCAAAACTCACTTAACTGTCTCGTTTAGCAACATACATTTTGGGTTCAATTGTGGTCATATGTCAAGGACTGTGCAGCGATTTACAGGGCTTCCCAGGGCAGACACACTTTTCACCCAGACGGAGAAATGACGGAGACTGGATGCTTCATCTACTTCAAAATGGGGTGCGTTGAAACAAAGCAAATCACTCCATTTCAAAGCATCCATTTGAAGCAGACAAAGCATCCAGGCTCCGTCATTTCTCTGTCCAAGCGAAAAATGTTTGGGCGCCTATTCCAACACTTGTTGGAATTAATTGGCGTTAAGAAGTGACCATTAGCTGATCTGAAACGGATAGACTTGAGCTTGTAGAAAGAAGATTTTGCCGTGTCCTAAATTCCCCGGCCATTATAGTTATGGTGCAGATCTTGTTTTATATAGCAATAAAAGCAGGGAATACACAGTGTGTGTATTTCAAGTCGTGAAAGTGTGAGTCCAGAGAAAGTGTGAGTCCAGCTATAGCTTGATTGCAAGGGACACCCTTTGTGTACTTAAGGTCTCCAGTTTCAATTTTTATAATAAGATTTGTAACTTGCAATCCTGGGCTCCAGAACAAGTCCAGAAGCTCGGAAGACAAAATCTTTGGTCCCAGTGACCAATCCTGATTGGATCCTGCAAGGTTTGTACAATTGCAAGGTGGCTGCTAGTTGGTATTAAAAATGATGGGTTAGTTAGACCAATGGACCTGATTCAGTATTTCTGGGACAAGAAGTCAGGATGGTTGCTAAATGCCTCAAATTCTCCTCAGCCATCATTGAAGAGAAAACAGCATTAGCAGAATCAAAGAATTACAGTCCTTTTGATTAAAAAAGGAACTATTAATAAAACTTTAAAAATGCCCCACATTCTAGGTACCTTTAAAAACAAACAATAAAAGGCTACTTGAATCTTTTTCCCATTTCTAGATTGTTTTAAGCATTTATTCATTTTTCCTTTAGGAAATTGATGGGAAATCTTTACTGTTGATGACAAGGAACGATGTACTCACTGGACTTTCTTTAAAATTGGGGCCTGCACTGAAGATCTATGAATATCATGTAAAGCCTCTACAGACACAGCATCTGAAGAACAGTTCACTATAGTGGATTTTCAAACTGGGACCATGTTTTCTTCCTGCTCTTCAAAAGAAACAAGCAGCATTGGTTTTTGGCACTGGAACTTTATTAAACAACAACAACACCAAACCTGTATGTGTGCATAATGAAATTAAACCAAATGGCACTGAAATAAATATATATTTATATTTATACATATCCTATTGGATAACTTTAGCAATATGCTGTTTAATAAATGAACTGGTAGGGTGTAGAATTTCTCATTATTTAAGCAAAATATCAATTCAGTATTCTTCTTTTTAATAACTCTATGGAGTCACAAAAAGGTAACTGAAAACAAGTATTTAAAATGGATACACTTGATTTTTTTAAAACTATTGCTTAAAACAGAAGAATGACATCTCTGTTGTTGCACAAGGCCCACTAAAGCGCTGTTATATCTTTGCACAGATCCCTTTTATTTCAAAAAAAATTGTTCTTAATTTGGAAAAGAAAAAGGAAAAGTATTAGATGAGCAAGAGACACTTCTAGAAGTTCTGCAAAAATCATAACTCTTTTCATGACATTAGCAGCAAGTTTTGAATTTGCCAAAATAACTTTTTTTCCAGAGGGAGCACCTATTTTTAATCTTACTAATGTTTGTTCATAGGCTAATGTTTTAAAGTTGTGCAGCCTTGAACCTTTTGGGAAGGACACAAGTTGCATCCAGAGGTGGTAAAAAAAATTGTAAGTTTTTTTTGTTGTTGTTGAACTTGAAAGGGAGTTCGGTGAAGGAAATTTTAGAGAATGTTTGTATTGCTTTGTGAGACAAAATTCATGTTCTAATTTATAACTTATTTGCTAAAAGTTTTGTTATAGTAATGTAAAAAATGTAAATCCCTGCATATTTTTGCCCACTGCAATTTGTAGTGTGGTAAAAATTATATTGATATGTAATTTGATTCATGAGCCAAATATCTATTTCTGGAAAGCTAAAGAATGCTATCTTACAACTGTGAATCCCTGCTAAGGGAAGACTTGTAGTTTCAGTTTGTTTCAACCAGTTCTTGATTTTAATTGCAGATATTTTGCATCAACAAAGATATTACCTATGTTCTGATTCAGTTTGTTTTTTGACTTTTTCTTGTGAGAGTCTTGCCTTTCACTGAGTGTCTTTCAAGTCAGTAATAGACTCAGCAGAACTGATATGACTTCTGTTCTTTTAAAAAACACATGTAGGAATTTATTTATTTCCACATAGAGGATACTATACTTTGGGAAATCTAGAAAAGTAAACAACTTTAAGAAAGGGGAGACATTATAATAAAAATCTCCAGGCCTGGCTCTTTCATTGACTTCATTTCGTAGTTATTCCACTCTTTTTGGTTTTTTTATTATCAAGAGGATTAATAATCTGCTTCCTGCCAGCCATCAAAAGTTGTTTAGATTTATTCTGATCCTGCTTAAATTTATTGTGAGAAACAGTCTTGCTTTTTGAGCTACCTGAAAATATCAGAGCTTGTCTAGAACACACTGATACTACTAATATACAGAATCAGTTCCAAAAGTAAGCAGTTTGTCTTACTGACATGGCCATATAACTTTGCAAGTTGTAGGCATTTGAATACTCAGCAGCATGGGACATTCTCATATTTTGCTAAATTTTAGACCTACGTATCCCTAATTGCATTTCATGTTAGGTGGCTTTTGATCTTTTTTTCCTACAAGGCAGAGATCATTTCTAAATCAATAAAATACACCATCTAGAATTATGTCACCTTGGGAGAATGTAAAAACTTCCTGTCTAACCCCTTTGAGTTTCTTTCCTGGTGAAATTGTCTTACAGTACTGGAGAATTAGCAATTTGTGACAACAATTATAATTACCTCAGCCTTTTATCTTTACTTCAGCAGATTTTAAAAAGGGCAACACTAGCCTCTGGCTCTATGTGCCACTTTTCAAAGATAAAGGCTTGAGATATCATAAGAAATGCTATAAGAAATTATAGGTTAAACATGATTCTTATACATTAATTGAGTGTACTGCTTAAGTGCAATGTTAGCCCTGAATTACTTTTTATTTTTACCCGTAACTGCTGGCTTGATGGAATATTTCAGCAGCTTAGGATAAAAAATGAGTAAGTTACTTGAGCATGTCAGGCACAGTTCCTCACCAAAGCTTAGAGATGACACAACAAACTCTGCTTTAAATAAAATTTAAAGACTCAATGGAGAGGAATGTTGCAAGTTCCATCATGTTATAAAGATACAAAGGAAAGCTGCTAACTGAACTCAGTCTAAATTCTATGGAATTCAATCTAATTTATATCTGTGTAATAGCTAAGGAAAGAAATTTTGGTGGTAGAGAGCAGTCTGTTTGCTCCATTGTCAATTGTGGGGAGTGAAAATTATCTGCCACAAAACAAAAATGTGTGGAAAGTGTTCAGTCTTAGGATGCCCAGTGACATTTGCCATGAAGTGGCAGATCACTTGCACATTATTGAAGCACAAGGATAAACTGGAGAATTCCTTGTAAAAAAAGAGAATGAAAAGTTCATGGGAACTGGGGGTGAGGGGAAGAGTTGAAAAGAGAAAGGAAAAGAAGATAAGCAGAATGTAGAAAAAGAAAGATAATCTGTGTGACAATCATTATGGAAATAAAGATATTTAGCTGATGTATTTTTTAAAGAGAATCTTGCCTTCATTGTCTCTGCATGATGTTTTGTACATACAGGATAACTATATGTACAATACAATGATATAGAGTACCATATTCATATGTATAGTTCAGAATTAATTGGCCTTCTAAGCAAATGAGAGAGGTAAGATCTTTCCTAACCCCAAATCTGACTTTTGTTATTTCATATCAAATACAATTTCTTTGAAATGTTTTTTTAAAAAGGTGAAGGACTCCCCCAATACTCCTAATCCAGAAAGGGCATTCGAAATGGGATGAGCAAATGGCACAGCTCCCTTCTTTTCCCAAATCTGAGTTTATTTTCAGGTGAGAAGTTGCAGAAATGGGCTACATTTGTGGAATGTGCTGAGCTTAATTCACTTCCCCTTGGGGGTTGTATTTTGTCCTTAAGCTATTGTATTAACAAGCTTGTTTGACTAGCTTCATGCAAGATAATTGCATGAAAATAGAAATGGTTTAATTCACTAACCATTTTATGGTTGTGTGAATAGAGCTGTATTCTATTATCTTAGATCCAACAGCAATCTTGAGAATTAAAAAGTGTTAAAAAGAAGACAACAGAGAAATGGTTAGAAAATTGCTATGATTAGAGATGATCAAGATTCAGATTTCTAATCAGCTATAACACTATGAAGCGATTTTGGAGGGATAATATTCATACATACAAACAGCCCAAGTTATATCATAGGATTTTGTTGAAGATAAACCAAGCACTGAGGAAAACTAGGGCAAAATGCAGCATATAAACGTTTTCCCCTTAGTGAGTTCAGAATGATAATATAATTTTATAATCTAGTCCTCATTATATCCTTAGAACAATTTTGTAATATAAATGTTTGCTTGCATAGACATCCAAATTGGCAATTCCACCCATTCTGCACCTGTGTGTTACATATAAATGAGGTTGCTATTCTTGTTTGTTAGAATTTTTCAGTAAAGTGAGCTTTGACTAAATATTTTAATTAGCCATATGAAATGTATAGTCCCAGATTATTGGGTACTATATGTGTGTGGCCAGATCAAAAACTAATCTTTAATTCATTTTTTCTTCCGTTCAATCATGTCTGATTCTTGGACAAGGTCCTTGCAGTTTCTTGGCAAGGTTTTTCAGAAATGATTTGCCATTGCCTCCTACCTCAGACTGAACAAAATGACTGGCCCAAGCTCAGTTGGTTTTATGCGAAAGGTAGGACTAGAATTCACCATCTCCTGGTTTCTAGCCTGTTGCCTTAACCACTAACCTGCTTTTGATAATATGTAAAGCTAATTTAAATTAGCTAAATATAGTTAATATGATTGGTCCCCTAAATCAGAGGTCCCCAACCTTTTGGGCATCAGGGACCAGTGCCATGGAGAAAGATTTTTCCGCGGACCAGAGGGAGTATGGTTTTGAATACTGCCTGCATCCTGAGGATGGAGCTTTGCTTGTTTGTACAGCCTGCTTACTGGCATGCTGCGGACCAATGCCAGTCCACAGACCGGGAATTGGGGACCCCTGCTCTAAATATTTAATATTTTTCCATTGTATTAAAACTTATAGTGGCAACTCTTGAAAGAGCTTTGGAGGATATACTCAAGGTCATAGAGTTTCCAGTTGTGTACCCAGGTTGCACATACATAATGACTCAAGAAAGCTTAGCAGCATTATGACTAGATGCACTATGCAAAGTTATTTCTAAGAATGCATTGTGCCTTCTTATCCAGTCGACTATTTCAGGGCTAATGTTATCAGACAAATGCTGAGCCCAGGACCAAGGGAATGACTGCTCACAGCACACCTAGTAAATTATAGGACACCTCTCTTGTCTTGTTCCAATCTTTCAAGAAATTTATCTTGTTGTGAAGGAATCCCACTCCCTCCTTTCTTTTCCATTTAAGGAAGGAGAAAACAGACTTGTTATCAGCAGATCTTCCAAGATTTGAAGCAAGAGAGCATCAAGATAATGATGGCTATTCTCAGCTTCCAAGGTACACAACATCAAAATTTCATCAAGTGGAAAGGGAAAGGTGAACACCAAACAAAAACAAAGTGCACTGTATGGTCTGCCCCCATTTGTTTATCATTGTTCAGTTCATCAGCTAGAGGCGTGGTGGCTCAGGCACTTAAAGATACTGGATTTGTCAGCTGAGGAAGGTCAGCTTTTTGCACTCCAGAAATTTGAGCCCCAGGATTGCAAAATGGAGTGAGCTCCTGTCATTCACCTCAGTTTCTGCCAACATAGGTCGAAAGCATGCAAATGCAAGTAGATAAATAGGTACCACTCTGAGGGGACTAACAGTGGAGCAAGAAACCAACCACTGCCAGACTGGCCAAAGTGTCAAAGTCGCCGCGTCATGTGACGTGTCGTGATGTATCACAACTTTTTTCCTATTGCTGGAGCTGGGGTGGGCGTGGTTTCAACATGACGCATCCGGCCCGCAGGCTATATGCTAAATAATAAGTTCATCAGCTCAACTCCATTGCTTTCACCTTTGCAAGATAAGTAAGAAATTATATGGGTCTAGAATCTTAAATAATTATATATTTATGTTTTGATATCTGCAGAGTTTCATATTTAATTGAATAAACAGATTCAACTTGTTTTTGTCTTTGCTCTTTATTCACCCATAAAAGAACTAGAAAGTTAGAAACCTTAGAACCAAAAAACTGATGGTAAGGAAACAAGACATTTGAGACATTATAATATTAATTCTAGTAATTCTCTAGTTGAAAGATAGGATAGAATAAAAAGTAAACAGATTAAATTATGCAGTCAAATTTTGAACAACAGAAAAGCCGATACTAGTTGATACTAATTAACTCATATTTTGGAGAATTTTCTGGGCTTTCTTATTAAAAACCTTGTTGATAAGGCAGTTTTCATACTTTTTAATGGTGATATGTAGATTTTCTTTTAGAGTGGGTGTGTCCCCAAATTATAAAGTGGCCAGCAATGTTTTTTTTTTCTCCAATAGGTCACATTAATTAAGCTCTCCCATTTCATAAGACTTTAGTGTATGTTTCCCAACAAAAAGCAGATGTTAAAAGCATTGGTAAATATCCTTCTCTGCTCTCTTGAGATTTGTAAACGAAGAAAAGAGCTGTCACAGAGGAGGCACCTAGAAATTCTTTACCCCTTGCTAGAGACATTTTCATTTTTTTTCAGTTTAGAAAGCTTAACCCTAAAGAACAGGCCACAGAAGGCAAGAGAAACTTGAAAATTACTTATACCTTATTAAAGTAAAAGAACAGTAAATGAAAACATTTAGATAAATTTGTTCCATGTTCCATGTGATGAAATGTCCCATTCTGAAAGACTGAAATCCTCGAAAACTTTTCTCCAAGCAAGCCTACTACAAAAGATGAAATCTAAAATAAAAAAGGGTTTTTAATTATTTTTATTTATTTATTAAATTTATACACTGCCCTACTCACTGATAAGATAATTCTGGGCAGCTTACAAACAGTTCCTAGAAATTTTGTTTTGGGAAAGCAGACTAAAAAAAGCTTATTTCAGATTTGTTGTTGTTGATCTATTATTTTCTGAAAATAATGTGGTATAAGACAAGGAAAGCTGCAAATATACAAGTATGAATGATACAGATTTCCTTGAATAGCCTCTAGGTTTGAGGCTAGAAGAGCATATTAGACTGTAATTTTATAAACTTGCAGAAGTGTAAATCTGGGGATAGGTTATTGTCTATCTGCAGATCACAAATTGTGGAAGGCTACTTGAACAAATTGTTTCTAAATGACATGGCAAATTACTAAAGTGTTTTTGTGGATAGTCAGTTTCGCAATCAGTTTCAGATTTGATAAAGAAGTTCTGGTTGCCACCCACAATTTCTGTATCAAATTTATAGGTGTCTACCTACAATGCATTTAAGACTATTTGGTTGTGTGGAAACTTGATGCAAATAAATAAATTGAATCTTATTTACGTTCATAAAATACCAGAAGCCTTGTTAAAAACAGATGGTTTGCGGTTAATATTGTAAAAATATTTTTTCTTCTCATCCGGCTCCTTTCATCTGGAGTTAGATTTTCCGAAATCTTCTGTTGAATTGAATTAATATATGTTTTATAAAAAAATTAATTTGGAATCAGCTTATTTTATCTTTTGGAGCAAATTGAATGTCAATGTTCAGGAGCCATATATTCTGAGTGCAGCTAGGTGGTAGTTTGAGTATGTTGTATGATTATATAAATGCATAGCTGTTTATCTTCTCACCTGGATTTCCAGGTTTGGTTATGAAAGTAAAATGCAAGAAAATCATATTTGTATTACTTAAGTGTCAGTCCATTAACAGTCACAGTTATGCTATGATAGTGATGGCAAACCTATGACACACATTTGTGATACACCAGACCTCCCGACTTGCTCTCTCACAGCTTCTGAGGCATACAAAAATTGTGTGAGCATTCTCACATAATTTTCTGAGGCTCCAGAGGCCTTAAAGGATCCAGAGAGGAAAGTGTATGTGTGTGAGAGAGAGACTCACTGGCAGAGTTAAGGTAGGCATTTTCTCAACTTTTGACACACTATATAACATCTACAGTATGTAAAATTGCAGGCCTTCTGCTTCTTTTAACAAAGTTGGTCTAATTCAATTTACAGAATTTATTAAACGAGCAGGAGAAATTTAGGTCTCCAGTCCTAGTCAGTTCAGGAAAGAAATGGGATCTTAGCATATTGTTTTCTTCATCTTTTCAAAATCAGTGAAGATAAATTCAATAATAATGATTGGAAAGTACCTATTGGGACTTCCCATATAGTACATCTGTTTGCTTGATGAGCCCCAGTTAATTTATATAGAAATCCTGCAATGTTACTAAATTGGATCCAGACTTAATTATATTAGAACGGACTGTAATTGACAATTATTTTGAATCATGGTTAAATCTGGATACAACTACTGTGTGTTGTGCTGAGAGCTTTGTATTTGGGTGTTAGTTTGAGAGAGAGAGAGAGAGGGGGGGGAGGGAGGGAGGGAGAGAGAGAGAGAGAGAGAGAAATTAATTAATGATTTCCTTGAAACTCTGCTTGGAAATAATTGTCCCTGACTGGTTTTCTATGGTAACATGAAGAAAAGCATGGAATAAGTAATGCCTGCTGGTATGATTTCAGTATTATGCAAGATGATATTCTCAGAAAAGAACTGGGTCTTCAGAAAAATTCACGGCTACATTTCCACCCAATAGAGCAATGGGGTTTGCAGTCTATTGGCACCTGACGCAGATTTTTTGAACAATCCTTCCTACGCAGCGTGGATGCACAAGCACCAAATGGTGTCTCCTGGGGTGTAAAAATCTGGAAAGGAAAGATGCATACATGTGAATGATTGGTCTCTAACTTAAACACTCATTATTATCACAAGAGAAAACAGACTATATTTCTTCCCACCTACAGTAGTCACATAAAGGATTTAACTGGTCTGTACCATTAATTTCACCTCCTGGGTGATTCTGGTAATTTGGAAAGGGCTAGATTATTAATAAAAAATGTCAGGGTTGTGCTTCATTGAATAATAATCATTTTTCAGATTTAGTCAGACCAGGTAGCTAGTGGAATAACCTCAACAAATAGATGGAACCAGGAGATAATCTGGGCTAATCTTCCATTGGCTTCAAGATTGTTCAGTTTACTCCTGTAAATTTAGACTTTAAGAAGGAATTCTCCCACTTTTCAAATAATATCCATGATTAGCATCTTCCAATGTCAGGAATTCTTGGTGTCAAAAAGGTCTAATTGTCTGGATAACATTTTTTGTATGTTTGTTCATTTTGTTTTGAAGGCTAAGTGACCCAAAGTAGATGCAATTAAATTTGTATTGATCCCACTCTTCCCAGTGTATAATCCACAATAATAACTTGTTTGGACAACCAAGAAAAAGTAATTCTCACCTCTTTGTCATTGGATATTCCCAGTTTTTCTAAATTTGTCACCGAATAGTGGATGTTAGACAGGATCACTTCTATCTCTTCAATCTGAAAATACAAAAATACCATTATGACTTATAAAGAAAACATATGTACAGATTTAACAGATAAACTCAATAAAGTAGACTGACTCCTGATATTTATAGTTTTGTGTTTGACAGTTTCATGAATTATATGAAATATTTTATTGTATTTACTTAGATTTATATTCTGCCATTCCTTCCAGAGCTCAAGAAAGATTGCAAAGAGTTCTCCCTTCATTTTATTCCCCAGACCCTGGAAACTGAGCTGAGCTGAGACTAGCCATAGACATACAGTGAGTTTTCAGCTGAGGGTGACTTGAACTTGGGTTTCCACTGATCTAGTCCATCATCCTTGACTATTATACTACACTGGCCCTCAGATATCCTTCCCTAGGCAACCTTTATTCAGAATTTAGGCTGTCGGTTACAGGGCAGCAAGGTCTTTTCAGTGACTGAAATTCCATTTGTAAAATTGAATTGACAATATATCTAACTTTAACCTTGCCAACATTTCAGTGGATAGAATCTATTTTCATACTGAGGTAGCATTAGTACGGATACATACAGTAAAATGTTCTTTATTTGCATGGCAACACCATCCATATTTGTCATTTCTTAGTTATAATGGTGTGGGCTTTATTTTATGGTGTTTACCCAAAGGAAAAGTGATCTTGAATTTAAGACAATTTCACCAAAACAGAAGATTAGGTAGAAAACTTCTGCTATTATGCTTTATTTTCAGCCAATCTAAGATGAAGATCCTCCCTCCTTTATAAAGTAGATGGGGGAAATGGTCTTTCTTTCAGGTACAAGTATACCATACTTACCTAAAAGATCTTTGGCCCTGAAATAGGAAGGGTGAGAAATATCTTTGCTTTTGTCCATTGGGGGAATCATTTAAAAAAATGAATGGGCTCTGCGCCTCAAATTTATCGAATTCATCTTAAATACAATATGGCCAGCATTTATTTATTTATTTTATTTATGAGACTTATATACCGCTTTAAGTGCAAGCACTCTCTAAGTGGTGTACACCAGTAAGCAATGTATATATATATTTACATTGCCCCCAACAATCTGGGTCCTCATTTTACCTACCCCGGAAGGATGGAAGGCTGAGTCAACCTTGAGCCGGTGTGATTTGAACCGCTGACCTGCTGAACACAGTCAGCTAAAGTGGCCTGCAGTACTGCACTCTAACTGCTGCGCCACCTCGGCTCATTTTCTTTGGAAATACGCCTCCATTTTCTGAAAATGCTAATAACATATATCACACTGAAAGCCCCAAATGAAATAAAGTTACTGGCCTGTGGGATTCTATCCAGAATGTATGTCTGAATACAGTTGACTGTTTTCTGGTAAGACGGTGAGTAATGGCCTGTTTCTGGTGGCCCAGCAAAAGCATCCAGGACACTTTCGTGGGCAGTTCTCCTTTAAAGTCGGAGGAAAAAAACCCATATAACATTTAGAATCAAACTGCAGCAGATAAAATCTACACTTGCAAAGCAACACATATGGGCATTACTGGTCTTTTACTAGACACTTTCACTCAACTTTGTGTGTTGTGCCTGTAATGTTTACACTGGGGTAATTTTCACACTGAGGAAATCAAGAGATGGCAATATATATAACACTCAACACTTAAACATTCCACACAATCACATTCAGCCATGAGTAGGACTGTCTTGGAAGTTTGAGATGTTGTTGTTGTTGTTGTTAGTTGCGAAGTCATGTCCGACCCATCGCGACCCCCTTGGACAATGTTCCTCCAGGTCTTCCTGTCCTTCAGATACTGTGGCATTATTTGAAGCCAAATAATCAGGGAGCTGAGCAAATTCTTGATGGAAAATTAGTCAAAGAACCCAAAATAAACAGGAGTATAAAAATAGGAGTCATTGGGAGTTGGGTAGCATATAAGTCAGTGATGGCAAACCTTTTAGAGACCGAGTGCCCAAACTGCAACCCAAAACCCACTTATGCATCGTCGGGTGCCGGGTGGGTGTGGCCCATTGGCTGGGTGTGGCCAATTGGGAGTGTGTGGCCCATTGGGTAGGCATGGCTATGGTAGTAACGGCAGACTGGGTGGGACTAAAAAGTTCAATCAATCAATTCCAATTTTGCAAGATATTTTTTTTGCCCACGAGAAGTTGAAATTGACTGATTGATTGAACCTTTTTTTTTTTTACACATGGTAGTGGAGGCCTAAAGCAAAAAGGTTTTATAAAACCCAGCTGAAGGCCTAGGACTGGAGCGATGGTGTGCGTGCCCACAGAGAGGGCTCTGAGTGCCGCCTCTGGCACCCGTGCCATAGGTTTGCCACCACTGATATAAGTTGTTGATTATAATGGTGATTGTAATTTGTAATCTTATATACATGACAGTCAGATGTCAGTAACGTACAATGTTTCTCTTAAAGATTTTTCATTGGTCATATTATAATAGTTGACAGACACATACTAGTGGAGAGTTGAAGGACTTAGCCTTATGGTCATGTTATAATTTACCTTAAAGAAAGTTTGCATATTTACAGTATGAGTACAACCATCAAAATACAAAAAAACCCAACAATTTTAGAACAATATAGTACTCTAGGACAGTGGATAATCTTAACCTCATCTAATCTACACAGAAGAAATCACAGACAGTGCAATACTTTAAAATAGGGATGTCAAACTCGCAACATCATGTGACATGTCGCGACGTATCGCAACTTTTTTTCCATTGCCAGCAATGGGATGGGCGCGGTTTCGGCACATCCAGCCTGTGGGCCGGCAGTTCGACACCCCTGCTTTAAAAGAATTGGGAATAAAAGCAACAGATTCTAAAATTACTATGGAGTTGGGAAAAAGGGAATGATCAATGCAATGTCTGGGAACAAAAGCGGAAGTAAAATGTGCAAACTGTAATCTTTCGGTGCTGAGCCCATTGAATGAAAGTGTGCATTATCAAAAGAAATGCACATTTATATGCAGTCAAAACTAGTAAAATCATGGAATTATTTTTACAACAATAGAGGAAAAGCACACTGTATGCTTCATTCATTAATGATGAATTAAATAAAATAATCTTTGATTAGTCTAGAGCCAAACACAAGGCTTTTATATGCAGAATGGCAGAAAGATGTGAGGATACCCACAGTGAAAGAATGAATGGGGAAGATGATAGAGCTTCTTCAAATGGCAAAATTGACAACTTTGAACAGAGAAAAGACATTGATTAACTTTAATGCTGATTGGAAAGCCCTTTTGGACTTTTTGCCTGAGATAGAAAAAGTATATGAAATTATGATATATGGGTTTGATGATTAGAAAACTTAATAAGTAGAAAAAAGTGAAAGTTATGTGACCTTAGAGTAAAAGGTTAATTTAAATTTATATTTATAACTGTCATTAAAGAAAGACTTTATATTTTTTTTTATATTTGCTTTTCTTTCTTTATATTTCTTTTTCTTTCTTTATGTACCTTTGGCCTTGTTCTTCATTTTTTTCTTTTTCATAACTGTTACTTTCTGTAAGTTTTTAATCTTTTTAGTGTAAAAAAAATCTAATAAAGTTATTTTAAAAGAAACAGGGTCAAACCACAAGAAATAAAAAGCTTGAAAAAACAAGACAGTCAAAATGATCCTCAAATACAGGTAGTCCTCGACTTATGAGCACAATTGAGTCCAATATTTATGTTGCTAAGCGAGACATTGGTTAAGTGCATTTTGCCCCATTTTACAACCTTTCTTGCCACAGTGCTGCAGTGACTCTTGCTGCAGTGACTCACTGCAGTTGTTAAATTAATAACCCAGTTAAGTGAATTTGGCTTCCCCATTGACTTTCTTTGTCAGAAGTTCGCAAAAAGTGATCACATGATCCTGGGACACAGCAACTGTCATAAGCATGAGTCAGTTGCCAATTGTCTGAATTTTGATCACGTGGCCCTGGGGATGCTACAACGGTCATAAGTGTGAAAAAAGGTCATAAGTCAGTTTTTCAGTTACATCGTAACTTTGAACGGTTACTAAATGAACGGTGGTAAATCAAGGACTAACTGTATGGAATTTTGTCGCAACTTCCTTAGTAAGAGACCTTCTTATTTGTTGCTAGTTTTAGTCCTATTTTATGTAAGCCCTCTCCTCCGCTGTAAAGAATTGTCAAGCCCCATTACTTATAGGCAGTGCTTTTTTCCTTAAAAAAAAAAAAAAAAGGTGCTGGAACTCACACACATCATACAACCCGTCTTGCCTATCCTACAAGGTTCCATCCAAAAAAGGTGCCGGAACTCCGTTGTAGGCGTTCTATGAAAAAAAAAGCCCTGCTTATAGGAGAATCCATACAGAAAATTTTACTTACCAGATGGCATCATAATCAAGGCCATCCAAGCATTCACCGTAGCACCATTTGATGAGAGTTTCCACCGACAACACTCTATCTATCCTTTCTGGAAGTGTGGTGTATCTTTCTTTAAGAAAGCCCTGAAATCCAGACTGGGTTGTTTTCATAAGTTTTAAGTCCTTAATGCCAGAGAAAACAATTGGACGATCTAGGAGAGGAACAGCATTAATTAATTTTAATAAAAGACTTGATGTCCTACAGTTACATATCGAGGTTTTTGCCTGAAGATGCCGTGATATCTGCAAATCAATTTGCAGCCCAGCACAATGAGATTTCTTTCCAATTAAGCACGCATTGAACTCCACCTCTCTATGGCTGGGTGAAAAACTGAACATTCTCGGGAACTCAGCTTTTAAAAACGTATAATAATCTTGATTATTAAATCTAATAATGGATGCCTGAAGGCCAAATAAGTTTAAAAAGAAATCTGCATGTCACTTTTAGCATGGCGTATTTTGATTAATTTGTATAGAAGCTGACACCTTTACTTTGATTCAACAGATCATCATTTTTTTAAAGAAGAGCCCTAGTAGATCAAAACAAATACCGTTAATGCAACATCATTTTTCTTAGAGGCTCCAACTTTATTGTAAATACACAAAGTTATAGGGATTAAGAAGACTATTAAAATCATTCAACATGATCTGGATTGATCCAAATTTTTTTAGTTCGGATCTTATTTCAAATATTAGCACTGCAGAGTAATTGTCACCAAATGAAGCCCTAGCCTGTTGTGGATTCTGTTGTCCAGGTGCAGTTTAGATGTTTACTTATGTTTATTTATTCATTAATATCCTGAGGGATTAATCTTTAAGAACTAAATTATTTCATAGTTTAAAATAGCATTTTAAAAGATTACAAACGTTACACTTTCAAAGTTGCATACAGGCAGTCCTTGACTTATGACTTTTAACAATCATTCGAAGTTACAATAAATCTCCCAAAAGCTATTTCAACCAATTTTGAAGTTACAGCTGCTCCCCCCACCACACACACACCATGGACACCTGATTGTATTCCGAGTGCTTGTCACCTGGCTCACCATTACAGCCATTTGCAGCATTCCACAATCACATGATGTCAATTTTACTTCTGGCAAAAAAAAAAAAAAAAAATGCCCATTGGATAAAATTGATTCACTTAAAACCCCTCCTAAAAGGATTGTAAAATTGGATCCGGTCACTTGGTGACCCATTTAACCACCATTGTGATGTAGGACCATAATTCCAGGTTCAATTATAGTCATAAGTTGAGGACTATCTGTATTCAGTTTATCATATAAGATAAATTCCATAGCATGTTACTGGCAGCTTCCAAAGGACTTGTAGATCTTACAAAAAGATACAGGGTTATAATTGATGGTTTGATTGGTTTCCCATCTCAAGGCAGAATACATTGCAATATCTCTTCCAACTGTTTCCCAGACCATCAATCTTATGGGGTACATTGAGTTGAGAGAAAGTTGATCAGCCAAAGTCATCGAGGGAAGATTTCACTGCTGAGAACAGAATTTATATATGCAAGAAAAGGGTACAAGTCTTTGCTTTGTTTTTTTATTTCAGATCTGGTCTGCAGGAATAACACGAATGGATTTATCCTGTTTACAAGCTTCTGAACGATTACCCAGGCAAATATGAACCTAATGTTTCTACTAAAGGAATTGAAATCATTTCCTTACTGTCCTGAGTCTGTTCCACTTCACAAAATCGAATTCCTTCAGAACTGTAGAGAAAAGCATGGACATGGGGAATATTGTCCTAGAAATTAAGGATGACATATTGAAGTTGCAAATAAACCATTCGACCGTGCACTTGGAATTCCTAAAAATAAATGAAAGAGCTGACTCACCACGAACAGCTGCTCCCTTGCCAAGCTACTGTCCTACTGAAACTTTCCCCCTGCCCTTATCATATGCCATATTTCTTCCCTGCCATTGACCCTTCCCTAGCTTTGTGCAGGGAACTGTGTACTCTGTCTACAATATGCCTCAAATGTAAGCTTCGTTATACCTTTTCAAGGCGCTGCCAGGGAACCTCATGGATAAAGGCATTGCAATACACCACGTGGCAGAAAGTGTTAATGAAGTGCTCACAGATATCCAGCCCAAACTCCTCTATTGTTCTGATCTGAAAAGAAAAGGTGTTAGATATGATCAGGTTCCATTTTCAAATCAGTCTTTAGAATTAATATTGTACCTCACGTATCATAAAAGATTTGTCATGCTGGCTAGGGAAGCCCAAAGCTGCTCTTGAGAAATGATGAAATCCACAAAATATAAACTATAACTGCTGACCATCCACTGGCTATTATAAGCTATTGTTGAAATTCTTAGCAGTTTTTTTTTTTATAAAAGTAAATTTTACATAGAATTTTTTTTTTAAGAGCAATGAACCTTGAGTTCACAGAACTAAAACTGCTTGGTTACTTTAAATCTTCAGTTTTTCCTTCAATTCATTGCATTCCTTTTTGTTTATCTGAATTTTATACAGATCTCGTATTGTAAAAAAGACAGAATCTCATAATTTGTTACTTGTATCCTGCTGCTCTCTAAATTTTGAATTATTCAAAACCTGAACATTTTGTATTGTCATACAAATACTGGTGACAACTATATATATATATATAGTTCGGGAGAAAACCCGAACAACCAAAGACCTACATACAAACACCCGCGAAAACCTCAGAATATATATATATATATATATATATATATATATATATATATATATATATATATATGCAGGAAGTTTTTCAGACAGATGTCTAATTGATTACACCTTGACATTTTTAACTGCTATACTGCAGTTTTACTTTTTACAATCTCTTTTGCCTTGCATATCTATCTATCTATCTATCTATCTATCTATCTATCTATCTATCTATCTATCTTTGGTTGTTCAGGTTTTCTCCCGCGTAAAGTTGGAAGTGTCTTGGCGACGTTTCGACGAAGTCCCATTCGTCATCTTCAGGCTGGTGAACACATACTTCATTTGAGCACAACCAAACAGAAAGGGGCGTTGTCTTACCTGAACGCCTTTTCTCAGCATGATGATGGAGAATCCACGGATGGGTTGTCTTAATCTATCTGCTCCAATTAGACTAAGTCTGAAATTTAGTACCGCCCCCTCTGTACCAACTGCACCCAAGTTTTAGGCTAAGGCGATACTCAGACTTTAGTCCGACGCGTCTGAACAATATGGGAACCAGGCCAACTGACCTAATGGGAGGGAGTGGATTCTCCATCATCATGCTGAGAAAAGGCGTTCAGGTAAGACAACGCCCCTTTCTCCAGCATGATTGGATGGAGAACCCACGGATGGGACATACCAAAGCCCTGTGTCCCTAGGGTGGGGAATTAGATTGGGCCTGGGTCCCATCCAACGTTAATGCGTGTTCTAGAACCTTGCGGCCAAATGAAGCCGTAGAAGATGCATATATATCCCTCTTGTAGTGACAGACAAAGGAAGAGGGCGATGCCCATGTTGCTGCTCTACAAATTCCCTCTACGGAGGCCTGAGTAGACCAGGCAGCTGTAGTAGCTGCGCCCCGGTGGAATGGGCCGTGATATGCCTGGGATCTTGCAGTGACTGAGACTGGTATGCCAGAGAAATACAAACTCTAATCCACCTGGGTATTGTGGTTGAAGAAACCTTCTGACCTAGTGATGAAGAGTGATGGGACACAAACAGAGCCTCTGTTCTGTGGAAAGATGAGGTTCTCTGTATATAACAATATAAGCCCTGCGCACATCCAATTTGTTCCACTGAACCTCTATGTCATTAGATGGGTTAGGACAGAAGTCCGGCAAAACTATTTCCTGAGATCTAGGATACAAGGACTTGACCTTAGGCACGAAGGAGGGGCCTAGCCTAAGGGTTACCCTGTCCTTATGGAACGTACACAGGTCCTTCCTCACTGAAGAGTAGCCAGTTCAGATATCCTTCTCGCTGAAGTTACAGCAACAAGAAATTCCACCTTCATCGATAACTGTTTAAACAAACCAGTGTCAATAGTTCAAAGGGTGCGAAACAAGAGCCTATAAACCTGATGAAGATCCCACGAGGGGTATCTATGTACAGTTGATGATCTGACATTGTTAGCTCCTTTTAGGAAGGGGCATATCATAGGGTAATGTGTTAAGGATTCATTGCCACAGGAAATAACTGTGGCAAGTGTTGCTATCTGCCTGCGAATGGTGCTTGTGGAAAGCCCTTTGTCTAGACCATCCCTCAGGAACTCCAAGATAACTGGCATTGAAACCGCCAAAAGGTCAATTTTTCGAACTGAACACCAATTACAGGAGTCTCTCCATGTGGCATCGTATATTCTATTCGTCGAGGGTCGCCTGGATTGCTGAATCATAGCTATGACCCTTGACGAATATGAGTCTCAGCCTAAGGCCTGCCTCTCAAGTGCCAGACGGTTAACTGGAGTCATTGAGGGTCTGGATGGCGTAGTTCCCCCTGAATGTGGGAGATGCGATTTGCTGGGATCCTCCATGGAAATGATGCGGAGAGCTCCATCAGGTCGGCAACCAAGAGCATCTCGGCCAATGCGGCGCAACCAGGAGGACCTCTGCTCGTTCGCGAAGGATCTTCCTGATCGTGGCGCATCTGTTCCCTCTGCTGATGGAGGTGGGAACCCGGAAAGGAATCTGGGAAGTTGTGAGTTGGTGGGGGAGGCAAAAAGTCTAAGGTTGGGGAACCAAACCTGTCCACGATCTCTCTGAACACCTTTGGATCCAGCTGCCATTCAGAATGGTCCATGGTTGCTCAGCTCAGTGAGTCCGCCTGCTGGTTGGTCACTCCGGATATGTGCTCCGCCCTGATGGAGGCAAGATTCAGTTCCGCCCAGGACCCCAGCAATTTGGCCTCCTGCATGAGAGGCCTGGACCTTGTCCCCCCTTGTCTGTTGACGTGGGCCTTGGCTGTAATGTTGTCGGTTAAAATCAGGACATGTTGGCCCTGTACTATATTGGTGAATCCCTTTAGGGCCATATGTATGGCTCTGAGTTCCAGCCAGTTTATATTGTTCTTTAGGGCCTGTTTGGACCACCGACCTTGAGCCCAGTGCGTGTGGAGGTGTACCCCCCACCCAAACAGGCTTGCATCTGTGGTAATGGTAATCCTGTCTGGTTCTAATACTGCTCCCCGTGACAGCGCCGGGGAGTCCCACCATTTAAGGGAGTTCAAGTCTCTGAAATGGAAGGAGAAGCCATGTAATTCTCTGGCATGGAGGCGTGCCCATGGCACAATTTGCACGCAGGACACCGTCTTCCCCAGTAGCTGTGATAGGGAGGCCAATGTGACTACTGTGGCCCTTTGGATCCGACATACAAGAGTCTGAATAAGAGTTCCTTCGGTCCTGAAATAGGTAGACCGTACAATTGTCCGTGTCTATAACAGCGCCCAAATGGAGGAGCCGGGTTGTTGTATGACTTTTCTGGAAATTAACAGAAAACCCGTGCTCCTGAAAGACCTTGATGGCTAGGACGAGGTCTGACTGAGCATTTCGGAATGATGATGACTGAATTAATATGTCATCTAAATAGCATTGAATTCTGATTGGAATTTGTCTAAGGTGGGCTGCGAGCACTGCCAGTACCTTGTAAATACCTTCGGTGTCGATGAGAGGCCAAATGGTAGGGCTCTGTACTGGTAGTGGGCATAGCTGAATCTGAGGAATTTGCAGTGGTTAGGAAACATGTCTCAGTTAGGTCTATTGAGGTAAGAAAGTCACCTTGCCTGATGCTGGCCAGGACTGATTAAAGTGGTTGCATCTTAAACTTCTTATACCTCAAGTAAGGTTTAGACCTTTCAAGTCTAAGATTGCCCTCCAGCCCCCCAAGTCTTAGGGATGATGAAGAGGTTTGAGTAAAACCTTCGTCCTTCTTGGTCTTGTGTACTGGTTCAATTGCTCATATTTGTAATAAATGAGCTATGGCCTCTGACATAAAGTCAACCCTGGACCTGCTCATTGGGATAGGGCAAGAGCAGAATTTGTCAGGTGGTTGAGAACAAAATTCTAGTCTCAAACCTTGCATGACAGTGTCTAACACCCATGCATCTGTAGTGATGGCTGTCCAAGTGCTGGAATAAGGGGCCAACTGGCTTCCTATGGGAAGTGAGACTGTGAGATCACTTGCCTCGTTTAGAGGAATGGCCCCTCGGCCTTGAAGGGGCCGCTTGGCCTGGATCTGTGGTCTGCTTCTGCATGCTGAATGATCCTGCTGTCGTTCTTGTCTCTGAAAGGAATAGAGGGATGCCTGGGCCCAGTCCCAGGATGGAGCTGGTTGAAAGGCAGCCTCCTGTAACTGCTCTGTGACATGAGTTAACCAGAGTTTTACGTTTGTCCTTACCTTCACTTAAGTATGGTTCTAGTGCCTTACCAAAGAGATGTCCACCTGTGTAAGGTTTAGAGGCCAGACACCACTTGGTCTTGGTGTCTGCTCGCCAATTCCTAGGCCAAAGGAGCCTTCGTGCTGAGATGTCTGCAGCAATGGTCTGGCAGTGTATCTAGCCATGTGCAGAGAAGCGTCGGCTAGGTACTGGGATGTAGCCACTAACTTACCCAGATTTTGGTGAGCTCTGAGCTGGTCCGGAGGGATTGTGTCCTGGAGCTCACGTAACCCAAGGGCTGAAGCCCTGGCGAAGAAGGCCATGGACGTTGCCCCCTTTGTTGCCCAGGCTGATGCCAGATGGGAACTACGCAATGCGGAGTCAATCTTTTTATCCTCCGCCCTAAGTGCCTCATTTATGTCCCCAGGGATGTTAGCATTGGGAAACAATGAGTTCAAGGCTCATCAATCTCAGGAATCTCCAATAGGGAGGCCAGAGAACGGGCAACATTGAATAATGTTCCCTCTACTGCACCGGGGCTTAAGAAGGATCCTAAGTTCTCCCATTGTTCTTGAACTATATTCAGAAAAAGGGGAGGGCAGGGAATATTGTTCTGCGAGACTGAGGGCTCGGTGTATATGGCGTGGGGACCCTTGGACATTGTAGGTGGGGTCTCCTGTTCTTGGGGGAGGTTTGCAGTAGTGCAGGCCCTGAGTAGCAGGGAATTAAAGAATGAATGGTCAAAGAGACCGACAGGAGGGGTGGGGTCAGAGGGAGTGATGCCCTCGTCCTCAAACAAAATCAGGCCAGATTGTTCAGCCCCTGTAGATTCCAAATCCGATGAGGGATCCTCCATCAAATCTGGAGATTGTGGATGATACGTGGCCTGGGGGGGTGGCTGTGGGGTGTTGGAGGCCATAAACTGAGCCACAGCCTGGGCTATCATGGACTGAAGGAGGTCCGGGTTCAAGGCCTGGTTCTCAGGAGGGCAAAGCCCTGCTGCAGTGGGGGTGAACGTGGCCTGGGTCCTGGGGTGTCCTGGTTGGTTATGCCCCTCCCTGGGTCCCTCTTGTGGTTAAATCTAATTAGGGAATTCCCCTGGGGGGAGACCAGGCCCCTGGGGCTGAGGCACAATGTGAGGAAAGGGGTTCAAAAATGGACCTTCCCATCGTGCCTGTCAGATCTGGGGAGGCCGCTCTCAGTCTTTGGGACTCCTCCTCCCTCTGTGGCTCCCTGCTTGGCCGGGCTCGCTTGGTGGTGTTCTTTCCACTTGCCTCTGTTTGGCGTTTCCTCTTGGCCGGCTCGCTGATTTTCTCTGCCATGATGAGTTGCTCTGGGCTCAACCTTGGCAAAATGCCCCCCCTCGGCGCTGTAACTCACCAAGGGAGCCTGCAGAGATGATTCAGCCCATGAGGGGGGGGCAGGGAATTAATGGGCACTGCGTCCCTTGGGAGCGAACAGGCCCTCCCCGGTTCAATGCTGTAGTCTCGAAGCCTCTGCCACCGGTGATGAACACTGCCTTCAGGAGAAACTCCAGGCAGTCTGGGCCTCAGTCACACACAAAATGGCCACCGTGAGTCAATTCAAAATGGCGGCCGCAGAGTTCGTGCCCAAAAAACGGCAGTTAGAAGAAGGCCTTGAGGCCTGTGGCCTAAGCTGCAATGAGCCCTCGTTCCGAGGAATCGCTTGGGCTCCTAACGCAGCAAATGGATTCCCAAAAAAAAAGGCCATTAGAAGAAGAAGGCCTTGAGGCCTGTGGCCTAAGCTGCAATGAGCCCTCGTTCCGAGGAATCGCTTGGGCTCCTAACGCAGCAAATGGATTCCCAAAAAAAAAGGCCATTAGAAGAAGAAGGCCTTGAGGCCTGTGGCCTAAGCTGCAATGAGCCCTCGTTCCGAGGAATCGCTTGGGCTCCTAACGCAGCGAATGGATTACAATTAGGTGAGCTGAGAGAGGCTGAGGCAGGCTGAGGCCTAGTAAGGCCTCCAGGCTCTGAAAATTGGATCGGTGCCAAAAACTTTCTCCTGCTGCTGGGGCAGTCTGCTGAGGCCGAGGGACCTAGAAAAGGCTCTCTCCAGGCCTGATGAGCCTCGTCGTCCCTTGCGGAGCCCCCCAGTCAATTGGCAAGCTTACCTCTGCCTCTAAGGCCTCCAGGCTCTGGTTAGAAGAATGGAGCCTCTGATGCAGAGGAACGGCCCCTGGTAGGAGATTTCTCTTGCTTCTGGGAATCCAATTTTCAAGCTGATTGTGAAGCTGAAAGGCTCTCAAAGGGAGAAAGGGAAAGTTCCCCCCCCCCCAAAGGGAGGTTTTGTCAGCCTGTCAGCCTGCTAGGCTACAGGTTGGGATGAAATAAAATAGGAATACACAGTCTTCTGCTCCAGGAGCGAAGAAAAAATGCGTCTTTGAGCAAAGAGACTAAGTCTAAAACTGGGTGCAGTTGGTACAGAGGGGGCGGTACTAAATTTCAGACTTAGTCTAATTGGAGCAGATAGATTAAGACAACCCATCCGTGGGTTCTCCATCCAATCATGCTGGAGAACAGATGAAGCTCAGATGTGTTCACCAGCCTGAAGATGACGAATGGGACTTCGTCGAAACGTCGCCAAGACACTTCCAATTTTACGCGGGAGAAAACCCGAACCACCAAAGACCTACATACAAACACCCGCGAAAACCTCAGAAAACATATATATATGTTTCTCCCATATTTGGGCTGACAGGGTGTACATTCAAGGTAAAAATCTCCTCCCCCTGTCTCTCTCCTGATAGCTAACAGAGTGGGAGAGAGCCTGTGGCTTAGAGGTTATAACAACTGCCTAACATGCAGATAAGCCCAGGTTCGAATCTCAGAAGAGTAAGTCTGGCTGAAGAGAGTTAACGGAACTCGAAATAGCTATACCAGTTCTCTCTTTATTCTTTGTTAGCAACCTATATATATATATATAT